TCAGGAGCTACGAGCACAAGAGGATGAGAAGAAAGAGAATGGGCACAGTCTTGGGCAGGGAGCTACTAGATTGGACACTTCTGGCACTGGTCTGAGCCAGGAGGCGCTGCGAGGGGGGCGAGCGTTTCCCCTATTGGCCCGCAGTTGGCGCCTCTCCCCTCCACCCCCGCCAGCCCCAGCGTGCTGTGCCCTTCTTAGCACCCTGCAGGAGTTGGCTCCTCGCGGGCGTCTGGGGGTGCGGCGCAGCGGCCCACCCCTCCAGCCCTGACCCGCCCCGTCCGGGCGCCCACCCCGCCCAGTGCGCTGGAAAGGCTGGGCGTCGGCTCTGTCCAGTCCCGGAGCCAGGAACCAGAGGCTGCCGGGTGAGTCCCAGGGTCAGGGGGTTCCGCCGCCGCAGTGCACCTGTCTTGACCGGCGGCGCGGGGTCGGTGTCCTCCGCCTCCGGCGGTACCCAGCCTCTCTTCCCCTGCGTGCGCCCTCTCGAGATGTGCGGGTATCAGCGTGCGAGTGTGGCGAAGGGTGTCCGGGTGCGGGTGCGTGCTCGCTGTGTCGGGGTTGTCCGGGAGCAGCAAGTGTGTGTGCGTGGGCCGGGAGCCCGCGCGTGTCCCTGCAGCGGGTCTGCGCCCGCGGCCGGGGTGCGGCTAGTGGAGCGGAGCGTGCGGAACCGAGTGTGCGGGAGGCGGTGGCGGGGCGATCCAGGAGGAGGCCGGCTGGGCGAGGAGGAAGGATGCGGGCCGGGAACTTTTCGGCCGCTCTGGAAGTGCGAGCTGTGGCGCCCGAAGGGGCTCCCCCCGGCCGCCGGGCGAGAGGCGAGCGCGTGTGCCCGCCGCCACCCCTCCCCCACTTCCGCCTCCCGCCTCTTCCTCGTTCCCGGCTCCCAGGGCCCGTGCGTCCCAGGGGAGACCCAGCGGCGCAGCCCCACCCCGGCCGGCGCGGCTTGCTCCCACGCCCCCGCCGCCGTCCCTCCTGAGCGGACGGATCGAGGCAGCGTGTGCGCCGGCGCGGCAGGTAGGGGCTCCGCGGCGGCGGCGGCGGGTGCAGGTGCCGCGGGAGGGCCGGTGTGGGGCGGGGACGCCGGCCGGGGCGGCGCGGCCGGGTCGGAGGGGCCTCTGTCGCCTCCCCTCCCCTCCCCCGCGGACGCAGTGTGTCCCTTTTTAGGGAATTCTTTCGCTCTCGCTGACTCCGGTGCGGGTGGGCAGAGACCAGAGAGGGCGCTCTCCATTTCACTGGTCTGGCAGCCTTCTGCCCCCAAATCTCTTCACCCCTCTCCCCAGCACCTTTAGTCGCGTAAACAACTCCCTTCCTCTCTCTAGCTCTAGGCTCCGCCGCCCCCAGGGGATAGCTCTTCCATCTTGTGAGATTGATCGGGTTGGGGGAGGGGGAAAGAGAGGGGGCGTCCCGGAGCCCCTAGTCCCCTTCACTCGCCTCCCCTGTCTCTCGCCCTCCCCCACCCGCTGCAGGAGCAGACGGCCCCAGGGGCCCGGGTATTTTTAGCGTTGTGACCTGGGCGGCAGCTCTTAGAGCCTTTCCCAGGAATCGGCGTCAGCGCCTCCCTCCTCCACCACCGCCAGCCCGTGGCCACAAAATCTCCCAACAAATCCTTGGCTCTGCCTGGCCCACTTGGGTTTGGGTCGCTCGCGGCCTGCCCCAGCGCCTGTGGAACTGACCAGGGTCTGGAAAGCGCTGAGTCCACCCACATGTGGAGGGAAGGCAGCCTACGGAGGATGATGATGATCTATCTGGTCCTCAACTTAGATACTCCCTTGCCTCTGGTGATGGGCTCGGAGCCCAGTGCCTGGAAGGAGGCTGAGCTGATGCGAGTGAATAGCAGGGCCTGGGAAGGCCCAGAGCTCTGGTGTTCTGAAAAACTCTCAGCACTGGGGGCCTGGTCTGAATTGGACCCAGGACCTGTCCTTCCAATGACTACTCACTGACTAGTGGGGAGATAAGACAGTGAGATGTGTCAGAGGAGAGGAGCTCAAATAAATAGCTGTGGGAGTACAGAGAAGAGGCTATGGCTTGTCCTCTGAATAGCACAGGTATCAGAGCTTTACATTTTACAGCACACCTTCACAAGCAGTGTCTTGTGTTTGAGGCAGGGAGGACGATTGTGCCATTTTCAGATGGGGAGACTGAGGCTAGCAAGATGATTTCCTTAGGGACAAAGGCAAACCTGAAAGTCAGGTCTGGAACTTCAGAGCAGGGTTTGCAGTGGATGGGGGTGATGGTGATGGGAGAGAGAGAGAGAGAGAGAGAGAGAGAGAGAGAGAGAGAGANATTAATGGACCAGGCTTCTCAAATGCTGCAGAGAGAGAGAGAGAGAGAGAGAGAGAGAGAGAGAGAGAGAGAGAGAGAGAGAGAGAGAGAGAGAAGGAAAAAAGGAAAAAAGGGAGAGTGGGAGGGAGGGAGAGGGAGAGAGAGAGGTGAGAGAGAACTTGAGCTTTTGTCTGGGGTTTGAAGAACAGGCAGGAACCGGAGTTGCAGCACTAGAGGAAGAAGACATTCCACCTTGAGATCTCTGTCCCATCCTCCTCCCTGGCCTTCTGAGGAGATGCCGGGTCCATGAAGTGGAAAAAGTGCCTCCCCCATCTGGGCCAGACCAGTCCCTCCAACCCCTCTCAGAGGGCACGATTCTGAGACTCGGCCATTGGCTGCGTCTGTCCCCTGAATACAGAGGAGCCTCTCTTGCTGTGCCTGGAACTGGCATCCCCTTTGTGGAGCGAGGGTAAGCCCCGCCTCTGCATGAAACTTGAAGTTTGTGGTAATGGACTTTGTTTCAGGGAAGGGGAAAGGAGGAAGGCAAGTCCAGAAGTGTCCAGGCTGGAACCAGAGGCCCCACTGGTGGGATGCTGGCTGCAGTGGGGCTCCCCAAGCCCAGGTACCCCCTGCATTCCCTCTCAACTTCATAGCTTGTTCTTCCACCCCACCCCCACCCCCAGGAGCTGACATGGACCCAAATCCTCGGGCTACCCTGGAGCGCCAGCAGCTCCGCCTGCGGGAGCGGCAGAAATTCTTTGAGGACATTTTACAGCCAGAGACTGAGTTTGTCTTCCCCCTGTCCCACCTGCATCTCGAGGCACAGAGACGTAAGTTCTAAGACCCGGGGAGAGGGACGAGGATAGGGCCCCCTCCTCTCCTATTTCCTTGGCCCTCTGAACTTCTGGCTCTGGACCTGACACACATTGCTGGCCATCCTGTCGGCCTGGGTCCTCCTGACTTGCCCCCTTCTTGATTTGCAGCCCCCATAGGTAGTATCTCATCCATGGAAGTGAATGTGGACACACTGGAGCAAGTGGAACTTATTGACCTTGGGGATCAGGATGGAGCAGATGTGTTCTTGCCTTGCGAAGATCCTCCACCAACCCCCCAGACGGCTGGTATGCCCCTCTGCTGGGACTTGGGCACCAGTTAGCCAGGGCCGGATGTCGGGGCTCTGAAGTGAGGCTGCAACGCTGGGCTGGGGAAGTTTAGCCGTGGGGGCTGGAAGGGGGCGTTTCCACCAATGAAACAGCTGTTTGTTCTGATTTTAGGGAAGTTGACCCTGAGGGGAACTGGGTTACAGATCCCCAATCCAAGATTCTAGGAATGCCCAACCCCCTTAGCCTTTGTTAATGTTATGTGTGTGAGATGAATGTAATTAAAATAATATAAAAATGTAATATTTATATTAGGTAATTTCATCAGTTTTAGTCATCTTATATTTATTGAGTACTTTATTAGATTTCTAACACTGTGCTAAAATACTTGACATATAGCATCTCAAGCCTTACAATGTCCACATAGGGCAGGTGGTATTATCTCCATTTATAAAGAAGGAGGTTAGAGAAGTTGTCACATAGCCAGAAAGTGGAAAAGCTGGGTTCAAACCCTGGCTCTCTGACTTCAAAGCCTGTATGTTTAACTGATAAAAGATATTCGCTTATTTAAAACTGCTGCTATTAATTGATAGCCTACTATGTGCCAGACATTTTATAAGCATTCTTAGATTTCATCCTGAAAATGCTTCTGGAATGTAGGTATCCCTTTTTTTACAGAGGAGGAGAAGAGCCCATGAGAGGGAAAGTGACTTGCCCAAAGCTACTCAGTAGCAAGTAAGTGCCAGGTAGAACCTGAACTCTTGAATTGATTGACCTGACTCTGGAGCCCAGACATGATCCCGGAAGTAGAGGAGCTAGGAGTCAGGAGACCCGGCCCTTCGCTGGACTGGCTAAGTGACTTTGGACAAGTCCTTGCCCCTGCCTGGGCTTCGGTTTCTGCTGGCCAGATCATATCTGAGAGTCTTCGGAAGCCCTGTTTGTGACCCTGACCAGCTTTTCTCTCTGGGCAGGGCTGGAGGACCATCCAGAGGAGCTGAGCCTGCCAGTGCCCACGCCAGACAGAACCACATCCCGCACTTCCTCCTCGTCTTCTGACTCTTCCACCAACTTGCACAGCCCAAACCCCAGTGACGGCGGAGCAGACACGCCCTTGGCACAGTCTGATGAGGAGGAGGGTGGGGGTGATGGAGGGGCAGAGCCTGGACCCTGCAGCTAGCAGTGGGCCCCCACCTATGGACTGACCGAGCTGGCTATTCTCCACATGAGACCCTAGGCCCAGCCAGGGCCCTTCAGAGAAGACCAGACTCTGCTTGTAGTAGGCACCACCGGGAGGAAGGGATGGCAGGGTGGTGCGCCTCCCTGGGAACTAACCCTCTCCTGGCTTTCCTGCTAACCTTGTCCCGCTGCAACCCTGCCACCAGTCTTTGGCTTACTCCTGAGGTAGAGCTTGCGTGCAAGGAAATGGAGAGGAGGTAGGACGAGATGCCACTGCTTTTCTTAGCACTCCTTCCCCCCAAACTTCCCTGCAGCCTTTTAACAGAGTCTCCTACACAACCAGTGTCTCTAAATGGACGTGAACTCCTAGCGCTCAAGTGGGGTGGGACTCCAGCCACCCTGCTCCCTTCCATTCTATTTTGGAACAGGGCACGGTATAGATAATAAACAAATGATAATATACCAACCATTTCACTTCATTTTTTCACATTGCAAAGATACCAAACCCACTATATTTCTTTAGCTCTCTAGTCAACACTGTATTCGCCTCACTCATCTACACCCATTTATTCAAGAAATATTCATTGAACACCTGTGCTGGGCATTGGGCATACAGTTTGAATAAGACAGGCTGTACCCCTGCCCCCAGGAAGTTGACGGTCTCTGGAGGAGGTGACCAAGTGAATACCACACTTTACAGTGTAATAAGGAGCATGACAAGGAACTGCTCTGGTATCAGAAAGTAGGGGCCTCTTAGCCTGGATGGTTGTTGAAGAGCTGATTTTTAAATTGAGATCCAGAGGATGAGTAGGAGTTAGCTAGGTGGGAGCAGTCACCCAGGCAGAAAGAGCAGCTTGGGAAGACTAAATGGAGAAAAACAGCCCTGAGGAACATATTAATAAAAACGTTCAGCTTGGCTGAATTGTTGCATTTGAGAAGGAGATGAAGGGAGAGGTAAGATTGACAGAGGTCAAGTCATGAAATGCTTAGACGCCTGTATCAACTTTTTTTTCTTCTTTTTTTTATCTGAGCCATCCTGCCACCTGTTGGCAGCTCAGCTCAGGCTGGGAATTGAACCGGCGTCAACTTTCAGTTTTGCTGTTTGTAAGCAATCAGTGACTTAGGATATACATTTATGTCCTCATATAAAAAAAAGTCCAAAGTATAGGGCTCTAGAGCCGCTCCACAGTTAGTGGGCACAAGGGTCCTGTTGGGCTCTTTTTGCTCAGCCATCCCGAGCACGTGTCTTGAATTCTTACTGATATTTCATGCCTAAGATGTCTGCTGAAGCCCCTGCCATCATGTCCTTGAAACTGGCAGAAAGCAGAAGGAATTAGGGATGGGTAAAGCACACCCAGCTGTCTATTCCCATGTCAAGAAACATATTTGGAAGTTCTAACCAGTATCATCCACTTTCATCTCATTGACCAGACCTTGCTAAAATGGGAAATGTTTCATTTACAGACGTTTTGCAGACACGGAGACAGAGCATTATCTAGAAGAGGGGTCGGCAAACTGCGGCTCTCGAGCCACATGCGACTCTTGGAGTACGTTTCGTCTCAAAAGTTTGCCGGCCCCTGGAAGAGCCAATCCTGTCCCGCACAACAATTTAAAAATTATTCGAGAGCTATAAATATATTTTTACATAATCACCATTATGTGAATAATATCCTTTAAAAATTTTGTAAATGAAACTATGGTAGTTTTCTTTTTTTAAAGATTTTATTGGGGAATTTGGGGAGGGAGAACTAGCACCTTACACATTAGAGGCCACGTTAATGAATTTGAACTTTATTGGGAGTAATGAAAGATCACAAGTGGTTGAATTTGCCTGTTAAAATGATAAGTCTGGCTGCAGTGTAGAGAATATACCAGAAGAAGACAGGGTGAAGACAGACATATGACCCAATAATCTATGAAGAGGTAACAGCAGCCCGGATCGTGGTGATTAGTGTAACTGGGCTGAGGCAGGGTGTAAGTAACGATATTCATTCAGTAAACATTAGATGTAAGACACAGCACGGCCTTGGGAATGTAATAGGGCAAAAAGACACAGTCTTGCTCTCATGGAGTTTAGACTCTAGTGGGGGCCAGATGTAAAATTGCAACTATGACTAGTGCTAGGAAAGAGTTAATAGCCTACTCAGAGAGGTGACGAAGTGTTTCCCTTGAGGAAATGGCATTTGAGCTGAGATCTGAAGGATGAGTAGGAGTAAACTAGGGGAAGAATGGCTGGAAGGCGTCCTTGTAGAGTACTGATTGGAGGGGACCAAAGTGGGTGTCTGAAACCAGGAGATTGCAGCTGTCTAGATAAGGGGTGGAGACTAGACTAGAGTGGAGGTAGTGGGGATGTAGAAACTGAAAGGAATGAAGAGATAGTTAGGAAGCAAATTCCAAAGATTTGCTAGGTGGTGTGAGAAAGGAAGTGGTCAAGGTCACCACTACCGTTTTTTGCCTTTTGCAACAGGATGATTTGGAGGGTGCTTCACCCAGATGGGGAATTTAGGAGAGAACAGGTTTGGGAAGAAGGTCATAAATTTGGTTTTGGACGTGATGAGTTTGAGACCTCCAAGAGAACAAACATGTTGAGTAGATACTTGGCCTCACGAGTGTGGGATTTAGATGAGAGAATTGGGCTGGAAAAACAAATATGTGAGTTACCAATGTATAGGTGGTCAATCAAGCCATGGGTGTGAATGAGCTTGCCCAGGGAGAGAGAGTAGAAATGAAAGGAGGGGTTATAGGAACATGAAGTCGTGAAGTCATTTTCTCACATTAGGAAAAAGCGAATCATTCCACCTCCCTTCATACATGAAATGCCACTGGTGGCATCAGTGCCCTTCAGTCTAAATTCCAAAGCTCTTTGTGTCACCCAGGCTGAGTGACAGGGCTGCAGTCTTCCCATAGTCCCATCCTGCTTTCACTCCACAGGAAGCCGTTTTATAAGTGACAGTTCCTAAGTGCTAGGGAGAGACTTGTGGGAGCTTTGTGCTCCTTTGTTCTAAAAGCCTGTGTGTCCAAGTTGAGCTCATCCACTAAGCTGGCTCAGGGCCCAGTATCACGTTAAATTTTGCAGTTTTTCTGGATTGTTTATGACTTTGCTGCACACATGGTCTCTGTCCTCTTGTGCTTTCTCCCTTTGGAGTAGCAAGACTCAACCTCCTGTCTGACTGGGGCTGGGCCGTCTGGGCTGCAGACCATCAGCTCTGCTTTGCAGGGGTTCTCAGCTCCCAGGATTACTTCACTTTCCTCCAAGGTGAGTGATGGGAAGCTAGACTAGCCTGATTGCTGTCAGCATGTCAATAAACCTTAGTACCACAGGCATGCGATGCTAGGATCTGTGGGGTTTGGGGTAGGGAGCCGCCTGGGGAAAGGAATCTACAGCCTTCTGGAGAGAGAGAATTGTTTGTGAGCCTATGGGGAGCCTTCAGTTCAGCTATTATGAGTTCCAGCCCCTGCCTGGAAAAGTCTAGGGTCAGCTGAGACCCCAGGACCACTTCCTGGTTGGACAATGACCTCTTCTTCTGCCAAACCACAGGGGCTTGGCTGGCCGTCAGAGCCAGCATCTCCAGCTGTCTGTTTTTTGAGGCAACACAGTGCCCTTGGAGATGGGAGGATGATTTGGAGCCAACTCCAAGACAAGCAGCCCAGCTTTCAGTCTCCAGGCCACCGTGTGGCTTCCTCTGTCTGTTGTATAGACATGTCAGAGTGTGGAGAGGAGGGAAGAAGACACACTCATTCTGCAGAATCCTTTGCTATGGAGGAAACAGGAGGGACCACAACTCAGAGGAAGATTCCCCAGGAGTGCACAGAACTTGATACTGTGAACAGCACGGCAGTGCGGGGACAACATGGAACTGTGCTATGATGTTGTCTTGTCTGTTTGTTCAAACATTACCGAGCACCGACTATATGCCAGCCTCTTTGCTTAGGCAACAGAAATACTAAAGTGACCAAGAACTCTTCCAGGAGCAGATGTGGCCAAGGATGATGGAAGTATAATGTGGACTATAACAGAAATACACACAGGACTGTAGCACACTAGAGAGGGAGAATCTAAGTCTTCTCTGGAGGTGGCTGGGTCTTGAATGATGAGGATAGGCCATTTCAAAAGGAAAGGATGTGCAGAAATACAGAAGAAGAATAATGGTGCAGCTACTTTTTTTTTATGTTGATCATGTGGCCTCTAGTCCTGGCTCCATCACTCACTGTGATCTTAGGCAATTATCTCATTTTTCTTTTTTTTTCTTTTTTTTTTTTTTTAAGATTTTTTTATTGGGGAATTGGGGGGATGGGAACAGTGCTGGGGAATTGGGGAAAGGGGAACAGACAAGTTGCTGTCGTTTTGTTCTTCAATCTAGTTGTGGAGGATGTTGCTTCACTGGCCCAAGTTGGCACCATCATTGCGCTCTTCTCTGGCGAGGCAGATCAGTCGCCGGCTTCTGGACGGCCGCTCACTGCAGCTGCTGGCCGCTCACGCTGGCTGCTGGCCACACACGGTAGCCCATGGCAATCCACTGCCACAGGGACTGCAGCCCACGCCGTCACCGGCGACTCACGGCAGCCCAGCTCCAGGTTGAGCTGTTGTTCAGCATCTTAGCTGTAGAGGGCAGTGTCACTGGCCCTCATATGTGGGATCCGAACCGGGGCCCTCTGGCATCCCAAGCGAGTTCTTAACCATCGCGCCACTCGGCCGGCCCAATTATCTCATTTTTCTGTACCTCAGTTTTCTCATCTGTAAAGTGGAGATAATAGTACCTACCTCAAAGAGTTGAGTAAATGTTAGTAAATGTTATAAGCACTTAGTACATTCCAGATCCTACATGTACAAAATTTTTCATCCTTACAACAACCCTGAAAGCAGGTTTATCCATTTTATAGAAGAGGAAAAGTGACACTCAGGTTGATCACTCTCATATGGATTAAAGGCTGACGTGGGGATTTGAACCCATATCTGTCTGACATCCTGTCTAGTGGGACAGGAACACTGGGTATAAGTAGAATGAAGTCATAGTGAGATAAAAACACCCTTATGACACTTCCTCCCTGGCTGGGGTATATCTTGGCAGACCTGCCTGACACTAAATTTGGTTCTTCATAGAAGTATGGTTGTGAGTTTTACCAAGAGACAGAGTGCAAAATTCTTCATAAATGTGTTCCCCATCTGGCAGCTGGGAAAACTAAAGCAAGATTTTAACATTGGAACTCCTACCACTCAATAAAAAGGCAAACCAGCCAGTGAAAAAAAGGGAGGGTATAAAAAGTTTTTAACAGACGCTTCACAAAAGGAAATACATGAATGGCCGATAAACACATGAGAAGATGATCAACATCATTAGGTACCAGGGAAATGCAAATTAAAACCATAATGAGATACAATTACATACATACCCATTTGGCTAAAACGAAAAACTCCAAAAAATTCAAAACAAGTGTTGACCAGGAGCTCTCATACATTGTTGG